AGCCAGCTAAACTTGAATTTCAGGTCAGGGACTGATTTGTTTCATGTAGGTATGTTCCATGCAGTATTTCATCTGTCTTACTGGGCAGTTTCCTCCCTAGGTTCACCCTTCCACTGTTCCCACTCCCTGCTGGCTCAGCACAGGCCGTCTCCCACCCGCTCCTGCCCCAGCACAGCCAGGGCAGCCGGTCAAGTGCTGGGTTCTCAGTGTCCTCTGTGATGTGAACTTTTAGCTCTTTCTAAAGAGACTAGATGGGCCTCTTAAAGAATTCTGATCCTGCCTAACATCCTAAAGAATTTACAGGTTTTCATTTTCTCTAGTGTGCTCTCCTGCTGGGGCAATGTCTTCCCAGTAGGCAAAAGACAGGTTATTTAATGCAAATAATACAGGCTTTAGAGCCACAGAGAACTGAGTTTGACCTGGATTTCATCTTTGTAACCATGTGATTTCCAGCACCACGTCTTCCTCTCCCAAGTGGAAATGGTTACAAAGACCATTACAGTTTCAATACAGCGTGGCCCCCACAGACTCAGCTACTGAAGGCTCCACCTTCCTCGCAGCAGTGCTCACACGTGGGCCCAGTGACGCATGCTGGGGGCTCAGACCTCTTGGCTGAATGGCTGTGGCAAGAGCCAATCACACCTGCGGTACAAGCATGTATCTGGGGCAAAACTGCACTCTAGTTGTGACCATGAAGGAGCTGTTCCACCTCTCCATGGCTTCCTGACTTGTAGGTGGAGATAACGATACTGCACACACAGTTACCGGGGCATCTAGGTAAGACCCCAGAACAGCGCCTGACCCGTGGAGGTACCACGGGTGCTATCATTCATGGTTCTTCTGTGTGGTTTTTGTGCAAAATTTTGTATGTTTTAGCTTTATGAAATGTCATTGTTTCTAATGGGTTTAGACAATTCTCTTAGATTTCTTTTGCAACATGAAAATGCCTGCAAATTAGTGTCGGCGCCATCTCCTTACAAGAGCTCTATCAATCGTTACATAACAGTTACGCCAACTCATTCCACTGGCAAGACTGCCAAGACCACTGTTCCCTACTTTACATGAGGCCGGCTTCTGAGTAGAGATAGACTTCAATGTTGAAGCACATTGTTATATTAGGAAAGCATCCACTTACCCTCCCTAGACTATGTGTATTCTGACCAGTATGTGCAGCATCTGTGGGATAAGAAGAAGTTACTTCCCTCCACAGACCCCTGCCTAGAGCAGACGCAGTTAATTACAAAGGGTTCATTGCATGTCTCTAGTTACACTGTCGTGGCTCCCCTTGATGTCCTGAATCCACTCAAAACATTGATCCTTCCTGCTCACTCTGACTCTGAGGAAGAGCCAGAAGTCACAAGATGCCAGCGCTGGTAGATGCGGTAAGCGCACATCACGATGTTTACGGGCCTGTCTTTCCCCTGGACGCCCCGAGCAGCATCACTCACTCTGGTTTTTAATCACAGCTTGTAAAGACCCTCACAAACGAGGACTTCCAAAACTGCCTCAGAAAATGGCAAGAATGATGGGTGTGTTCAAAGCGTATTTTGAGAATGGCAATGTCTTTTACTAAAGATTTTAAAATTTAAACATTCACCATGATATCACCCCTTGTACATCAACGATGGGTTTCCACGTATGAGTGCTACCAAGTTATTACGATAACAAGTTTTGCAGTGATATTCTTCTGTAAGATAGGCCTTTTATTTTCTCTGTGGTAATCCTGATCAGATTTTACAGGCTTGACAAAAACCATTTTCAGTTCTTCTCTTGCTAGGCGTTGGAATTAACTGCTCTTTAAAGATTCAGCAGCTTTGCTGTATGAAGCCATATATTCTAGTAAGTTGGAATGTAGCACCTTAACAATTGTTTGCTGTTTTTGTCTTACAAAAATTAATTTTAGATTTTTACAGTATCTCTGCAGTCAATGTTCCTAGAAAATTGAACAAAGTAGTTTTATTTTCCCTTTTTCACTTTTATGGCTATTTTTGGTCTTATTTTGTATATTTGCATTTGTTCTTTTTTGTAACTATTTGGCCATCACCCTCTTTTGTCTTTTTCCTCTGAAAATTTTTAAAATTAGTTCCACTGCTTTCAGAAGCTGAAAGCCACTTACAACCCTAAACAGAGCTAAAAATGTCCTCAACCAATGATACAGGGAACACAGTTTAAGAATGTCAACTCCCGAAACGCTACTAATACCCTCTAGATTACAGAACCGTGTGCCCATGGCACACAAAGGCTTATCCCTTAAGTACTCTGTGCCATTTAAAAAAATTGTAGGGGCTGGGGATTTAGCTCAGGGGCACACTGCCTGCCTGGCAAGCGCGAGGTTGTGAGTTCGATTCCTGGTACCAGAAAAAAAAACCAAAACAAAACAACAATAAAAAAATTGTAAATACTGGGACGGATAGACCAGAAATCCTCTGATTTCATCTATATTCTTCTGTGATTTCATCTATATTCCCTTTTCCTTCTCTGTGGCCTATTAAAAGTAGAACTAAGTTCTGACGCTTACACTTACTGTGTGATCTGGACAAATTACGTAACTTCTCAGTATTCACCATATTCGCCCTCAGAAATAGTAATGCACATAATGATCTTTGAACGGTCTCCCTGTCCCCTAAGTTTAATGTCACATTTGGAGTCCACTCCCCACTGCTGGCATTTTACCAAACTGCAAATTCTAACTTTCCAAAGCACAGAATCCAAGTTCTAATGTATCTGCTTTATGCGTAGTGTCTAATTCCCTTTTCACTTGACAGTCAGTTCATTCGGAAAGGCCTTGATGAAACATCCAAGCCTCAGGAACTCTGCGGCTTTATTAGTTCCCTGTTGAGCCTGTAGCTCAGCTGTTTCGGTCCTCACACGGCACGCCAGGCCTCCTCCAGATCCCCTCTTCACTGAGCAGTCTGAGAGCTGTCCTCCTGTAGATCACAAGATAACCCCACACAGCAGCGGCAAACCCATGGCACACGTGCCACAGCCTGCTGTCTGTTACCACCAAAAGCTCTAACAGGTTCGCCATCACGGACCCAGCCATAACCAGCTGAAGCTATTATTCTTACAGCACTGTTCCCCACTTTTGAAGGCCAGCGCTGCTGCGCTTCCTGGAGAACTGCCCTCCACAGGGACATTTCCCCAAGTCACTACCTGTGTTGGGGGTCTCCAAGACCACCCTCACATTGAGTACTTTGCTAGAAGGGCCACAAGTCTAAATACAAGATCAAGCTTACAACTACCATTTATTACAGAGAAGAACATCAGGTAAAACTGTAAGAGGAAAAGACACCTTCTCCACAGGACACCAGGTGCTTCCTCCGAGAGTCTTGTTCCAGTGGCGTCCAGCAGCACTGATGCCTAAAAGGACCCTGCAGTGATCACCAGGGAAGGTGGCTGACCTCAGGAGGGTCAGTCCCACAGGCACCCTCTGCCCAGCAGTACTGCAGCTGCACACTCCGGAAGGAAAGCACGTGTTCAGTGCAAACCGTTTAGGCACATGAAGCCAGCTGTACCCATCAGGGCATGTTGGACTACTCCAGAAATCCAGTGCTGGGGGCAGCCAAGGGTGACACCTCCACAGACAACAGGCTCTGCCACCATGCCCAGTCTTCTCTGTACACCCCCGTGAACTACTTAGCAGCCAAGCATGACCCCATGCCAAGACGACACCCAGGTGCTGCACTTACTGGGCAAGATGTCATCCTCTTTCCCTTGAGCAGATGAGCCAGCTCCCAAGCGCCAACTTACTGCCTGCTTCCTGCTGCGCTGTGCAAGCTGGGCCCTCCGAGAAGCAGACACTAACAGCACAGCGCGGCCCACCGTGCACGAGTGCTGTCAGGAGTGACAAGTGGGAGAGCAGCAGCGAGCCTGGAGACAACCCAAGGCAGGGCAGGCGGGCCCCAGGCGGGCGGGAGGAGCGCAGGGAGGCTCCCCTCAGGGTGTCAGGCACGACTGGTGGTGGTCAGCTATCAGCCGAGGGCAGCATGAAGGACACGGGGTGTCGGGGTGAGGCAGCCAGGCCTCAGACACCTGCGCCCCTCTTGTGCCAGTGACAGTCACAGCTCTTAAAGACTGCTTTCTACATACATCTCAAATAAAGAGCAAAAGAGGAGATAAACAGGAAGGAGGGAAAAGGTCAACTATTTCCCTAAATTACACACTGCACTGTTTTAATATTTCTCTATGCCATTCTGTTTCATTGATATTAATAGTTTACTTTAGTTCACTGAGAAGAAAGTTTGTTATTATCTGTTCCTTTTTTGTGAGAAGCTTTTTGGTTTATGTCTTGTACTGAGCAACTACTTAGACTCTGAAGATAATGATACACAGTGGAAAAGATTTCTTACTGCCAAGAACACATCTGCAACAATTTGCAAGCTCCTTTTTTTAAAGTTAGTTATAAGATTCCTAAAAGAACACTGACAATGAAAACTAAGTCATCTTTTAAATTCATGAACTCAACAAATTATCCTATGGGGATGAATTCCAAAAAATAGTTTTTTCCCCAAATAATCTGATGAATTGGGAGCTTAAGCCAAAGTACAAAAGGCAACAAAATCAAGTTTATATAATAACAAAAGCCAAGTGTTCTTCAATGTTCAGAACTCACTTTCTAAAATATTTATTAATGTTTTATACACAATTTGGAAACTTGTAAGTTATGTACACTTAGACATTAAAATGGAAGAACATCCTCAAACGGTAACAGAATTGGTTTCTGATACTGATGTTACCCTCATATTGGCCCTCAGGTTTCCAAGTCAAGCAGACCAGGGTTTTTTGCCATCTACTAAACTTCACGCAAAACTGGCCCCTACAGTTGCTCTACAAGTTCTTCCAGCAAATGTTTTCAACTAATTCATATTTAAAAATTCTTACAATTAAACAGTTAGTTCCATCCTTCCCCAAAATACTGCCCCAGCATAGTGAGCAGCCCAAGCCTCTGCATGGCCTGTAGTGGGCTGGTAGGACTTGGAACAAACAATAAATCAAACATATTTCATGTGAAAGAAAAAAATGTTTATTTTTTAAAATGAGATCAAGACCATCTTAATGTAGGAGATGCCATCTTTATTCACAGGCTAATAAAAAAATAATAAACTCAACTAGATATAGTACATTTGTTATAAATGAAGCCACCTCTAAGAGGAAGGCTGGGTAGGTGAAACTGCAGATTACAGAGAATGTCAAGTAATGTGCAACTTGCACCGAGTCACTGTATTTTTGTTTCTAAGTATGAAAAATTAAGTCCACTGTGGTGGGGAAAACAACCGGCACGAGTTGTGCTAACTTTTGGTAACTTCAGCTATAACTGCCAACACTTGCAAAATTCTCATCTTTCTTACATGTGTTTTAAGAAATACTGTGTTTCCATCATACTCCTATCAGAAATACTGGAGAGAAGAGTTTGAAGTTAACAGTAAATATACACACAGATTTCTACTGGACACTTTCTCAACTATTGCTTTTCTGTGTATTTTTTTCTTTCACTTCTTCACTGTTACAGATGAGTATCTGGCTTTTTCCTAGAAGTCTCAGTATCATACAGGTTTTTCTCCTAGAAACATGAAAGAACCCGAACTGGTTCTCACTCGGGCCCTGGGGGAAACCCCACAACTACTAGTTCATCCCCATCGCGTGTATTCTAACGCAAGTGTGCAACACAGCGGCTCTGACGCCGCCAGGGAGCTCACAGGCCTAAGCGACACAGCCCTCCGTGGGTGCAAACATGTGAGGCGGAAGGAAAAGGGAGCGCTGTGTACAAACCCTTTCATCTGCTGTCAGCCTTGAGAAGAATGTTCATCATAACCGTCTCACACAACCCTCCCACTTACAAGCAAACTCACAAAAATGCTAATTCAAGGTTCTAAAAATCCCCTTTGCAGACTTTTATGTATTTCCTGAAAATCAAAGGAGTACATCTTACATTTGCTAAGGGCTCATTCCGAGCAGATAAAGGATCATCCCTGAAGAAATACCATGGTCAGGCCACCCACCTATGTTTTAAGATAGTAACAGCATGGTTTTGCATGTTCAGAACAATATATAACTTGCTTATTCATTAAATACTAACTCTTGCTCAGAGGCAATATTATACTACAAAGTATTTTAATATCAGTAACAATGTACACTATGAAGTGCATTTCTAGTTACAGATTAGCACGGTGATATACAGGTGAATAAAGCCACCCAAAACAAAACCTACATGAGCTAGTTAAAACATACATTTATAAATAGCAAAATCATGAAATAAAGTATATACAGTTTATAGATTTAACTTTGAACAAATATATAGTGCATCTGGGAAAGACAAAAAAATGTTTTATCAACATAACATCTGAGTATTAGAAATGAGACACTGATAATATTCTAAAAGCCTTACAGGCTTTTCCCCCTTTAATATGCCCTTAAATGTTTCACCCTTTGAAACAGTGACAGGAGCAGAAACTACCACCTCTTCAAATGTAACGCACAACAGTAAGCAGAGAGCGGACTCCGTGCCTGCCCCGATAAGAGAAGGAGCACAGGGAGGTGTGCACCTGCACACCTGCAGTCACGCACACATGAATACGATTATCCAACCAAGCAATGACTGTTCCTCCTCTTGCCTGCCTCAGCCTCCTTCTATGCAGGTGACAGGCAAACCAGGTGCTTGGAGGAAACTGCTGTGTAAGCTTGGTACACTTCATGACACAGGACAAATGTGAGCCTTTCCTGCCAGATCATTTATCTTCACGTGCCAGGACTATCACAGGACAAACTTTATGAACAACTCAAACATAAATTTTTTAAGGTCCCCAGAAAATAGACACGAGACTGCACATGAATGCAATGCTCCAATACCACGCAAACAGGCCAACATAATTGAGAACAGGTATTTCACATTCATCCCTGTTCCCTTTGAAACACAAAAGGCGTCAGGACGCACAATACATTTTTAAAAACCTAAAACCATCTTTCAGTTAAATAAAGAATTAAGCCTACATTTTCCCCAGCATTGTGCAGACTCAATTCAGTGTCAGTTCTGTCCTTTGAAACACCACGGTTAGCATTCTGAAATATATAACATGAACTCCCTTACTCTCTTGAATTCAATGGCTATTTTCAGTAAAATTCCAGTTGGCACGGTCCTACTCCTAAATAAGCAAAGGAATCAAATGAAATAGTAGTAGTGCTTCATTTGGTACTTAAGAGCCTAGTAATACAATATTCCTTTGGGAAACACATGCTTTGGTGCTTACAACGTCAGGTAAACCAAAACTGCTTTACATGCAATCATAATCGTGGTGTACCACAGAAAAGGGGGATGTGCATTTAGAACCGTCTGCATGAAGCCCTGAGGTACTGGCCTTTCTCTAGGCAACAAAACAGCCTCTCTTGACTGGGGATGGTTTTGTCACCATCCTCTCTAGTGCCCCCAATTCGAAACAGTCTGATGAGCAACCCTGTCTGGAGATGTCGACGCTCAGAAGGACTTTTTATGATACAGACCACTGTGCAGGTCATCGAATCTCGAAGCAGCATCATCTAGTGGAGTTTCACTTGAAGTTCCCAGATCTCCATTCTCCTGGGCATCCGTAACTGTCTTCTTATACCCTGCAAGACAGGCAAATGAAAGGAGTGGGTCATTTCTGATCTAAAAATATACTTTATTTGATAGTTTTACTGAACAAAAACCAAAGGAATGCCCACTATAATCAGTAGCAGAAAAACAAAGCAAAATAAATTAATCACCAGTAATTTCTGATAAGGGAAGTTTTTCACATATAATGATAAAAATTTAGTCACCTATACATATATGCGAATGGTGCTCTCACCCACAAACAACTCTGTGGTGTCATATACTGGTCATTCACTGAGTGTGCAGCAACTCTAAAACACATTTCACTTTACTGTTAAGAAAATTCACATTCATTAGTATCACCACAAATCTCTTGAGAGAAGTTAGTTCTGTGGCACGCTGGGGCTGTCAGCTGCACAGTGACGGATGCGTGTTTTACAAATTCTGAGTTTCCCATGACAGCTTCACATTTTATCACTGGCAGTAAACACCATCAGCTGTCTCCCCGGAAGTGACCAACAGACTTTGCTCATTTTTAAGAAAATGGCCACAGAACAGTCTGGACAACCATAGTTTGCATCGTTCTTTCAGTAAGAATTATCTTCTATGAGAGAACAGCAAGTTCTGCTGGTCCGTGAGTCAGGTGCACGCCCCCAGCACAGAACAGTAAAATGCATGCGCTCAACAGTATTTCATAAAATGAACAGCTTTCACATTTTCACTGCATAATGCCATTTTACTAAAGAAGAAAAGAAGTTGTTACTGCTTCCTCAAGGATAGGTTTCAATCAACTACCACTTTTTTTCTTCCGTGTGGGTGATAAGGAAGACAGCTACCCGATGCTACCCTGGGTGCCACTCCCCGGGCTGCGCTAAGGGACCAGCAGTTCTGCCCCAACTGCTTCTGTACCACAGGTGCAAATTCCAAAAGGTAAGCGAAGTCTTAATGTTATTACGACTTCCAAGACCCACGAACTGGAATTTTCCAACCACTGCTCTGTGTAAAACGAAGTGCTGTAATTTCCCTTCAAATGTGTGAAGGACAGAAATGGAACTAAAGCAAGGACCCTCAGCCTCACATGTCCTGACTGAAACGATAACCCTGCCAGCCCAAAAGCTTCTCCACAACCAGCCTGGGATTCACTGCACTGTGAGAGCAGAATGGGCTACAGTGAGCTAGGTCTGCTCTAAGAGCCAGGGGACTCTTGTTTCCATCTAGAGAGTCTGAATTCTGCTTATCTTCTCAGGACCCCAGTAGTCCAAGGTGAACCTAGACAGCACAGCTTCTGTTGTACAACAAAACCATGAGTAGGAAACAACTATTCTCTGTCAGTTTCCTCATCCACGCAGTATTATACCCAAAGCTTTACCTCCTGAAAACGGATGAACAATGAACACGTGCACAGTAATTTTCAGTGCCGTCTACCTGGGAACACTCTGACTTCCCCACCGGCGTCTCTGCAACTAGCACCAGGGTTGCCGCCGCCCTCCAACTCATCCAGGTACAGACGGTAGCGATGCCCGCTCTCATCTTCATACTCCACGTTCTCGTCATCAGAGTCTACTTCGGGAGCCACATAGACCACCTCAAATTCAATCTCTCCCCTCTGGAGGAGGGAGCAAAAGGAGGTTCAGTTAGCAGCAGCAGCAGCAGCAAGAGAGCTTCAAAACCCCTGGGCGGGCTCAGTGGTGGGGAGACTTCAGACGTTGTTCCTTTCCAGACCACAGAGAAACTGGACTCTCAGCGGGGAAATGGGGGCCAAGAGACCCCATGTCCAAATGGACCCTGTGGATCTGCCTGGTAAGTCACTTCCTCTTACGCTAGCAGTTCTGCCCGTCACATCATTTTCTGCTAATATCTACAGTTCGAACGCTTAACTAGTCAGAGTTCTGGAAGAAGTGTTTGGTTTCAAAGTCATTTTGAGATGTCTGTGCTGTTACACAGCAGTTCAGCAAATCCATCTAGGAAACTGGGTATTAAGTTAGCTTGCCCAGAAGGGCGTCACACAAACTTTCTGCACTAACTGAACAAGCCCCTACAGAAGGGTTTCTTACTGAATAAATCTTAACTTTTCTTACCTCTCAGCAAGTACCAGACACAGGGTTAATCAAGGTATTCTAGGTAGTGATACTGGGTTTACTGTGTCTCCATCCTCAGAAGAACCCCGTGACAACCTCTGACAGGCTCAGAAACCCCATGAGCACTCCTGAGCGCGGTCATCTCCCAGCTCCGCATGCTGGCCGAGGACACACAAGAGAACACCGGCCCCAAGTCCTTGCTCTTTCTCTATGCTGGACTAAGTTGTAATTTCTGTGCTGTTACTCTTTAATAACGACTTTATGTACAATATTACAGATGATTTTACTGGGACGATTTCAAGCTATACTTGAAACGTCTGTCATTTCATAAGAAGTTTTAACCACTGCATACAGGTCTGGTGGCTGCAGCTCGGGCAATGAGAGCGTTTGCTCGAAATGCCATTTCTCCCCACTCTCCAATATGTGGGTCTCCGGTGCTTTCTTCCCAGCTTGAACTGCTGATAAAGTTATGCCTGATGGTTTGTAAAATGTGCCCTAGCTTCCTTTCTGACCGCCTATTCCTAGCTCTATTCAGCCCCCTCTCGGCTATTAGAACACAGTCACTTACACTGGGAAACACGAACCTAAGCATCCTTTATCATCACATAAAATACCATTTGGGGGAGTCGTGTGGAAAAATACAGCGGTGTCCGGCAAAGTTCTAGAGAATGGTATTTATCTGTGATTAGACAAAGATTGTAGGCTGATTCTGCAGAAGGGTTTTTTTTTTTTTTTAAACAATCAGCAGTGTGCAGTAAGAGAGCAGACTGCACTGCTGTATCACCAGTAAGTCTTCCCTTTAACACAATTACTCAAACAGTGCTGCTGTAGAGGAATTTCTGCAGCATGTGGACATTCCACTGAGACTCAATTCTATACGGGTGCACTCCTCTGGTGATCCCAGAGATGCCTCTAGGTACTAACATCTCATTCCCTCAAACTTCTGCTCACAGGCGTGAAAAATGAATGTCATGGCTGTGTCTGAGTGTTTCCCCAAGGCCTCACGCAGTCAGTCAGGCTTTTCAGAGGTGGCGGGATCTAGAGTGTGTGGTGCTGGGATTAAGGGCGTGTGACTCCTAAATTAGTCCACTGACGGGTCGGGCAGAGCTCTGGCTAGGATGAAGGGTGCCCTGTCCCTAAGGGGAGGTAGTCTGGATACAACATAAAGGGACAGAGAGACTCTGTCACTTGCGGCTTGCTGCCTTCTGCCTCCCTGCTCTGTGATGCCCCTCAGCCAAGCTACCCCACCTTGGAGCCAGCCACCTACGGCGTGACTCTACAAACTGTGAGCTAATAAACCTTTCCTCCGCTGACTTTGGACGTTGGATATTTTGTCTCAGCAGTGAGAAAAGGAACTAAGAAACAGACAACTTTAGACATCTTGTAACAAACCACTTTAAACACACTGTAACAAATAAACACATAACCTTTTTCTTGGGTATGCAATTTCATTCTAAACTTTAATTGCTCTGCAACCTTGAATAAATCCTTAATCTCTTAACAACCCACGTTTACTTATCTTCAAGTAAGAGAGCTAGGCCAGGTGATTCCTAAGGATCCTTTCAGTTTGGTATTCCATGAATAAAATCTACCCACTTCTGCACTGTCTTTTTCATGTCCCATCGTATCTGCACTGTTTCTGTTACTAATGATATGGCTTTCCAAGTACCACACTAACGCACTCCTTCCAGCTCCACCTCCATCCGTACACACAGACGAGCAGACTATGCAGAGGACGTAACGACTCCTTCAGTTATGTGCTCACATAAGACAGCAAACAAAACGGTCCCTTTTCAGTAAGATCTGACCAGTGCCACTATGAAGTTTCCAATCAAAGGAAACAAGAGTCTACCTATAAACACTTGACTACTTGAGAAACTTTATTGGAATGCAGAAACTGTTCATAATGATACAAAGGGATCTTACCTGCTGGGAAAGTATGGTTACAGCTTCTTTATGCTTTGTGTCTCTCAGGTTAACTCCATTGACCGCCAGAATGGCGTCCCCAACGTGCAGGCCTCCGCACCTGTCAGCAGGTTGCCCGGGGTGGATCTCCGAGATGAGGATTGGAACACCATGTTCTTTCCCACCCTAACAGCAAGAAAAGGCAGTGTATCAGTTCACACACTGTCAGCTAGTCACAGATTATTCCAGACATAAAGCATTTTCTTGAAAATGCCTTTCATTAAATAAACATTTATGCTGTCCCCGTAAATGCTGGGTAACACTGTATTTGCTACGTAGGTCATCGTAAATAAATTTGATGAGTATCAAAGAACTACCTCCATGTAAAAGGATTAGTAATACATGGTTTTTTTTCCAAATACATTCCACAGTTAAAAACACCAGAATGTCAAAAGTAAAAAAATCAATGGTCCTAACTCTTAAACATGAATAAAAATATTTATGGATTAAGACTACAAAGCACTATATTATCAAATCTAAACTATTATGTATGGTAAGAACAATTATTTGACATACCAAAAGTTGTAAGACTTTAAGATGAATTTTCTGAATATTACAATGTGATTAACAATACTAAAAAAACAGCTCCTAATATAGCATGTTGCTCTTAAGAATGCTGCCCAAGACAGCTGTTTGAAAAGGCATCAAAGTAACAAAAGAAGATGTAATGCTTAGAAGATGTAATGCTTAGACCTTGAGCCAATGAAACTTGACAGTTCAATATGAAACAAGAGAAAGATAACATATACCCTTCAAGAAAAAAACCCGTACCACAGACAACATTAACCACAGAAGAAAACACCCATTATCTGGGCCCAAAGGCTTGCACAAACATCGCAGTACCTGATACAAGACTATGGCTTGGGTCATAATGAAAACGCTAATCCACGCTACAAAGGAACATTTAACACTAGTCAGCAAGATGCACATACCAAAAAGTACACGCAAGTGTTGGCACCCAGATGCTGAATAACTGACTTCTAAGTGTGTGTCCAGAATACCCTGTTCCCCACACTATGCCCTGCAAAGGAGCAGCACTGTATCAGATAACTGTACAGAAGAAACCGAAGCACTACTTCTTACTGTAATTGAGATGCCAAGGCCTTCATGGTCTTCCTTAAGGAGAAGAACTTTTCTAATGGGACCAACTCCTTGGCTTTTCTTTAAAGAATCTTGATCCTTATGGAAGGGGAAAAAATTAGTATTAGTTAAATCATACACCAACAAGAGTACTCTCATGCTACATTACTCACTTTTAGAAATCTGTTTCCTGATATAGAGTACAGAATTTAAAAAGTAATACATAAAGTGGAAAAATGAAAACATTTTGTTAATATAGTGACACTGATAATTATTTTCTCTTATCAACGGTTTTTTAAAAATACTGAAATATTGATAGATGTCTTTATATAGTAGGACATTACAAAAGAAATTATAAGCAGGAATTAATCAATAAGCAAGCATCTTCTAGGAGTAAAAGTGGGCAACTACCTATCTTCACTGGAAAATATTCTAAAGACTTATATCAGTTTCAACTGGTTTGTAGGAATGAAAACAGATTTCAAATGTGATCATTTCTACTTTATCATTGCGGGCTCTGGCGCTTCTCTCTAAGGGACCTTGGTTCCTAGTAATTCTCTCTCTCTAGCTCGTTCCTTTCCTCATCAGCAGGCGAGTACCAAGCACCTCCCAGTTCTCAGAGACTGACCGCATGCAGCAGGATCCCCCCATCCTGTGCCGTCCTTCGCCACGCCATTCCTGACCGTCCGCAAAGGCGCTGCCTCTACGCGCAGGCCTCCCCGCCAGCTCTGCGATCAGTCATTAAGGTTTGGCCCCTCACCCGTGCCGCTGCGGTCCCTGGTGACCAATGCTGTGACACTTCACTGGCACCTGTAGTCACCACTCTGCGTGAACCTGCAGGAGGCGGGTCCCGTCTGCCACTCCTCCCAGTACCTGCTGTTCTCCCTGGTTCCTAGCGCTCTACCTTCTCTGGCGGCCTGTGCGCACCTGCCAGCTCCGCCACAGGCTCTCTCCTGCACACTGTAGGTTTCTACCCCTGGCTTCCCAGTCTTCTGCTCCATACACACATGCCCTGACAACTGAATCAATTCCATGGTCTCAGCTGTAAGAGAGGAATCGTTTCCCTAATACTTCAACTCAAGACTTCCCTCCTGACCTCGGTCACATACCCACCTGGATGGAGATCTGGAAGTCCCACTGGCAGCTCAGGCATCCACGTCAAAATCTGGTCTCCTCTTCCCCTCCTAAGCTTCCTTTTTCTCTATTCCTTTTATCAGTGGAAGTCAGATCACACTCAGTTGGCCAAAACAAAACCCTAGGTGCCTCTTCCTCACTCAGCTGCTTAACAAACAGGAGCCAAAGACTGAAGCACACACGCCCTCTGGTTCTGATTCTCTCAAAGCCCTTCCCCTGCAATGCTGCATCCCCTGCCCTCATCGCACTCTCCGTGGAATACCACAGCACCTTTCTGACTGGGCAGACCGCAACGGGATGACACCATCTCACCTAAAAGCCCCACAATTACCAGGAAAATCAACACCGCCATGTTAGCATAAAATAACTTGTGTCATCTGCTCGCTATCTAGACTCTCAGTCTCTCACACAGCAGCTTTTATCAGACAGCACGACACCAACTACTCTGCCCTCTGCACCTCTCCTATTCTCCCGACCTTCTGGACCCAGATGGGAACGGGGTCACTGGCGCCTGAGAGGAGACAATGGCGTAAGCGGTGCTGTACCTCTCACTCTTCTTCCAACAACCCTATGCACATCCAGTTTCTCTTACAGTGACTTTGCAGAGGCAACAACACTAAGCCCCGTGAGCCACGAGGCCAAGGCTAGACCGGCCTTCACACAGCAAGGTCTGGATTCTCAAGGGTCTGTGGTCATGGAGGGCCGCAAAGGAGTGTGCCACACAGCCCGCTCCTGTCCAGAAGTAGCTCCGTAAGAGGTCGCGGGACATAGATCTCGAGTCCCGGCTGAATCCAGACCCAGCCAAGCTTACGTGTTCTTCAGGATCTATACCAAAACTTTCCTTGAAGAACTTTTCTCAAATATCCTATTAAGCAAAATGACCACACACTTTCACATAACCCTAAACGAACCTAAGAGCCCAGCCGTGGGCCAGGAGCACCGCGGCACCGGTCCAGAGGACCAGCGCTGTCTGCCAGCGGTGGCCCCGCGTCCTCAGAAACGCCACCGTGGGACATTTTACGTCTGTGCTGGCCGTTCAAAACTCATCTGGGTTCACCAAGCTTGAAAACGCACCCATTTTAAATCAGCTGAGCCCCATTTTCACTCTGAAACAAGGCTGCAAACAGCACCGAAGCAAAGGCAAAATGGAAGAACTGGGGATTCAAGGGAGGCGGCGGCCAGGAAGCAGCAGCAAAGCACATACGTGGCCCGGCGGTGCCTGCATGGGTCGTTTCAAGTCGTTCCGTCCCCTGCAGGCTCTGATGACAGTCTTGTGCCGGTGCAAATGGATTTCGGCTTCTAACTGGTTCCAGAGCTTATCATGAGCGGGGCCCTTCATGTCTCGTCCTAGCAGCTGTATCTGCTGGACCCTTCGTGTTGAGAAATGAGTTCAGTGAGTTTTTCATGATACTTACTGTAGGACTCAGAAGAATTACTAAACGTAAGCACCTTTCGCATAAATCTCAATCAGTAATAAAAACATTCAAGAGCTTCTCTGTGTTTCTCAGATTTATAAAAATATGAAAACTCTAATAAGGACAGGAACCAAGGGAACATCAGTGAAAAATTTTTTTAAAGGAAATACATGTCAACCTTTAGTCATGCACTGTACTTATTTCAAATATACCTTAAAAAACTATTTATGAGATCAGTGTCAATTAACATGTGTTTTATGCGTTGCATACAATAAAGGTAACTTAATACTTGAATTCAGACACAATGCTATTAAATTAGCTTTTAGATGACAGTGACTGAACAAAAGCCTTTCTTCTACTGAGTTTCTTTCATGAAATGATTCTTTCAAATGTGGTAAAGTCAAAAGAAAATTTTACTTCAAGATGATATAAATACCTTTGCTTCACATCAGTCCTCAATCTAACATTAAAACAAGCATAAAAAGATTTAGTACTAAGAATCATCAAAGTTTGTGAGCACTTAGCAAAGTGTATGCCAGCAGAACTCATTTTTTTATTATAAAAATCAGTGGTTAACTTAATCTCCCTATTTTTGGAAGGGCTAGAAAGCTCAGGAACCGGACGACAGGGGGAATTCCTTGCAGACGCTCTGCTGGCCGTGACCCCTGCCCAGTCCGGCGCTGAGGCAGGGAAAGGCTGCAGACTGCTCTGCAGATGGGCAGCGTTTCACCTAAGTTATTCCCAGTGCCGAGCGTCTGTGGAAGCCACTCTCACCTGTGTGAGTGAACTGTGGAAGCCACTCTCATCTGTGTGAGTGAACTGGACAGGAAGCTATAACCCACTGTGCAATCATTTTGAGAATCAGCGTCGATGTTTCATGCACAAAGCACTCAACCTCACAGGCAGTCTGTCACAGAGCACAAGCCCACCTGCGCGCGCCCGCCGCGCCTCACCTCCCAGCCAGCTCCTTGTCCAGGTACTTGGCGGCCAGCCTGGCCCCGTACACCTCGGCCTGGAGCACCGCTATGTGTCTGCGCAGGGCCTCGTTCTCTCTGCGCAGCAACTTCACTTCAGCTTCCAGCTGCGCTTCTTTCACTTTTTCCTTTTTGTTTGCTTCAAGCTCTCTTTCCTGTTGTAATTTTTTCAAAAAATATAATTTAATGTAATTTCTTTATGAGTTTTAGCAGTAAAGCACGTTCCTTAAAATAGTAATACCAGCAACGAAAGCATATGATAAAAATGGCCATTACACAATGGAACACAAGGGTTTTTAAATTAGTACTGCAGTATCTTAGAGCCCTGGCTAAGTACATGCCATGAGGTACCCTGCACTGAGGATAGCGAGAGAAGTGGTTTTCTCCAACTACAGTGATAACTGAATCTGCTGCTCACTTTCTAAACATGACTTCAGAAACTTGCTGGCAACAATGCATGAAGACATTAGGAACTGCCTACACAGAAGCATGTCTGTGGTGTATGCTATGCCTGAACTCGGGGACGTGGCTCATCCTTGTCTGCACATTGAAGTGAGTGCACTCTGTTTTCTAAGGAAAACCCTGGCCTTGCTCTGGCTCTTCGTAAACGTCCAACCATCTTCACTCTCGCAGAGGGACACCATCCTATGCTCCACCTGCCAGACAGGACATCGACAGGACTCCACAGGTGCTATCCCAAGGCCAAGTTTTAGTGACAAACTCAGGTGAGAAACAGTGTTCGATTCACCATAAGACACAAAGCACAATCTGTATATCCCTACAAACTCAAGGTTACAAATAGAAATGCCTGCAAGGGTCCAAGCGCACAATGGACATGCAGCTTCAACACAAAGTGCAAGAGGGAAGAGTCTTGCCCAATGGCAGATTAATTCAAAATCAGTATGTACACAAAGTGTGTGGCCAAAGAGAAGCTCCCCAAGAATCGCATGTAGTCCCCAAGTTTTCAAACTTGCTCTACTGCTGAGTAGAGCTGCCTTTCCTGACGTAAGTGTTTAAAGAATCCCCACATCCTGCGAGAGTACAGTGGTAGCTGCTCCTTTCTCAAAAAACCAAAACCAAAATAACCAAAAACCCTAATAGAAACTGTGAAATGGTGTGTATGTTATTTTCTCTGATAAACATATTTGTTTTATGTGTGACAAACAGAAGTAAGATTAGCAGGCTTTTTAAACTTCTACAAAGAAAAATATAACCCTTAAACACAGTTTCTAGATTATTAAAAGATTTGAAAAACTACTAAGCCAGGCGTGGTGGTGCATGCCTATAATTCCAGCTGCAGGAGGCTCAGGCAAGAAGCAGGAGGATCGCCCTGAGGCCAGCCTGGACTACAAAGAGAGTCCAGGGCCAGCCTAAACTTCACCCCTGAGCTGAGTCTCCTGCATTATTTTCCATTTACATATGCAAAGTACATACCATTAAGAGAAATGAAGTCATACAACAAACTGAAACCTGATTAGGTTGGGGTAATGGGAATGATATTAAGAATTTATATACTGTTGTTTCTAAAGAATTTTTAAGGCCCAGTTGTTTTCACGGTCACACAATTATTCGCATGCAGTGGAAGGAGAAACCAGCATGCACACCCTTCCCCTGGGAAAGAACTCAAACAAGCCGCAGGGAGCGGGAAGCAGGCAGCCCCATCTGCACCTGTGCTCCCCTGTGTGCAGACCACTTGGTCTTCTGGAGAGGCTGGAAGCAAGTTGCAAAGCTGAGAAGTTAACAAAAAACCGATAGCTCTGCAAATACAGTAATGGCCATAAATCACAAACAAAGGAAAAACTTTTAACGCCATGCAGCAAGAAAAATACAACGGACCCCCCACTGAACTCTTCAGGCTTCCCAACTTCAAAAAACTGCCATCATTAACATTTTCAAATACACAAGAATGACAGCATGTAATATGCAAATAAACACGTGGGCCACTTCAGCACAACATATCAAAGCCAGACAAAATGTACGTACTTACCAGCTCCTCCACAGAGGGGACAGACTTAAGGTGCAAGAAAGAAGTTTTATAATTAGAAAACCATCCAAAGAATGAATTTACCTAGTGGTACAGTCATTACAAAGAAAATTTCTACATGTTCAATATGGTTTGGGTAAAGTTCATTAGAATACATACATTTGCAAATCCACAAACAACAGTTAACAGCACAGTACTAGATTAAAATGCTCTACCAAATTAGTCAACACAACTGGTTCAGTACAGTACTCAGTGTTCCAAGTCTAATGTTAAGGTAAACTTTTTTCTAACGAAATTGTGGATTGCTTTTCAGTGTTAATAAATATTTGAAAGAAGAAATTACAATCTGATTTTTATTTCTGTTAAATAAAATTACTAACAGATTCATACAATTTTAGGATTTAAGAGGCTTTAAAAGAATGTAATATTCGCTTAAATAAATTCTACCATATCAGTATTAGAAACCAATCAAACAAAGGTAACTGAAGGTGAATAAAAATGTACACATGTACCACTCCGCACATCGTCACTTCGCCCTGCCTCTCCGAAGCTTTGCCTGTCTTATTTACTCGTGTGTCTCCACATGCTTAACAAGATATCTCAAAAAACAAAACCAAACCAAGATGCTTCGTGGGACATACTCAGTATGTAAGTGGATAAATGAAATGAGACTAACGTTTTTCCTATTTAAGCAACCCATATTAACTAATGGTTAATTATGATAAACTCATAAACACCAATACACAGGCATTACTCAGTGTTCAGCAGGAGATGCTCACAGTATAAAATAAAGTGCTATTGGCTGGCACCTAGGTCTGTTTTCCCCTGCTGTCCTTGTTACAAAGCTTTGATTTTACTGCAGTTGACCATGTGACCAAGTAAACCGCTTACACACGGCAAGGCGCAGCCAGTGAGACGCTGGCAGAAACCGCTGAGGAGAATGCTGCAAAAAGTTCTTTGGAGAAAGTAAACCTGCTGAGATGCACGTATGCCCTTTCCTCACACTCCCACATTTCCTGCTTAGAATGCAGATGTGAAGAGATCCTGAAATGCAGACAGGAGCTAAAATGGCACCACCTTCCAAGGAAAGGACTGTGTACTTAATGTTTATGGGGCTGCTACATCAGACTTGTGCTGCCCGCCTCAGTTCTGGTACGAGAAAAGTAACTACTATTCCAGAATGAGACTACTGGACATGCCTGTAAGCCAAGCTACTCTGGGGCGCCTGAGGCAGAGCAACTTAGTGAGACCTGTCTCAAAAAAAAAGTCCAGTGGTGGAGCACCTGGCTAGCAGGAGCGAGGCCCTACTACCAAAGCGACAACAGAATAACCCCAATTTGTTATATGCAGCTGAATTTAGTCTTAACTGGTACAGCAGGACAAAAGAACTATTCGTATGTCTTAGTTACAAATACCTCCTAAGCTATTTATACACCGGTTTTAAGGAAGAAAACATCCTAATGGTTACTGATATTACTGATGGTCTTAGCGATGAAGTTGCGGACGAGCATGGTGATTACAAACTCTGCACTCCTGTACCTCAATTCCCCACAATGAACATACAAACATTTTACACTTAGAGGGCCTCACCCTCTAGAAACTGAACCCACACCCTCTCTCAGCTACTCACCAACTTCGCCTTGATGGTGCCAGAGTCAACACTGGGCCCAGTTTTTGCGTGAAGCTGCAGCTGTACGGAGTGCAGCTGTAAGAGCTGGTCATGGACCTCTTTCTCCAGCACGACTTTCTCTGCCTGGGTCTCTGTCAGTTCAGATCTCAGGTCCACCAATTGTGCCTTAGAGAACAAGCGAAAACATTAAGTACGCTTAATTTTCTTCATTTTATTCTAAAAATTAGTTTTCAAGAATGGCAATCATGACCAGGTGTGGTGGTGCACGTCTGTAATCGCAGCACTTGGGAGGCTGAGGCAGGAGGATCGTTGCAAGTTCGAGACCAGCCTGGGTTACCAAGTGAGCTCAAAGCCAGCCTGAACTGTATAGTGAGACCCTGTCTCAAAAAGATAAAAAAAAAAAAAAAAAAAGAAAAGAATGGCAGTCTTTGACATGAATCTACAGACACTACAAGCTTATTCACTGACCGAGACATCCATCTAAGATGACAGGAAATAAATAGTACAAGTAAAATATCTAGGTGGCAGAAAAATTCCACAATGAACAGTATTTTTAACACAAAATGCTACTTCCGTTTTCTTTAAGAAGCCTTTTCACCGTTTCAGCTTTATCTTCAAAACACATGAGCGTACACATCCAGTTCGGTCCATCATCCCGTCTGGTAGACGGGTACATGTCACAGGGCCACTCACGGGAACAGCATGCGCCCTGGGTGCACCCCAGAAAGCTCCGACAGCACTGCTCTGAGACCTGGCATGTTTCCTTGTGAGACCTCGGGCTCACATTTTTGCCACAGAACATTTTAAATGCATCACCCCACTGGCTTCTGATATCAAACACTGCTAGCGAGAAATCCAGTCCTAATATTTGTCCCTCTTACAAGTGACTTGGTCTTTTGTCTGGATTCCCAAAGGTCTTTTTGTTGTTTTTTTCTTGGTACAGGGAATTGAGCTCAGGACCTTGCACTTGCCAGGCAGGCGCTTGTGCTACTGAGCTACATCCCCGGCCCTTCCCAAACGTCTTTTTGCTTCATTTCTACAGCTCAGGATTTTACTAAAATACACCTTCGTGTTCATCATTCTACGTCTACTGCAGATTCAATCTTGAGTTCTTTCAGGATGTTCTGTTTATAGTATTTTTGTTTTTGTGAAGAGTTGGTCATTTTTAAAGTGAAATTCATGTAACACTGAATGAACTATCTCAACGTGAGTAATTCAGTGGCATTTAACACACTGACAGCGTTTGTAACCACCCAAAAGAAACCCCGAGTCTCTGAGTAGGTGCTCCCCATTTTCCCATCTCTCTCACGGGCTTCTGGTAGTCACCAATCTGCATTTGGCCTCCACTGACTCACAAATTCCACATACTTCATATAAATGGAAGTATTTATGTGATCTTTTCATCTGGCTTCTTTCATTTAGCATGTTTTCAAGGTTCATCCATGTGATCACACGTATCACCGCTTCACTTCTTATGGCTGAGTATCACTCCATTGTGTGTATACCTCATGATCTCTGCACCCAGCCACCGACCAACATCAACTGTCATGGCCCACCCACCGACAGACACGCGACTCTCACAAACAACACTGCTTTCAAGACGTGCAAACATGTGCTTGTTCTCAATTCTCTTAATATGCCTGGGAGTTCCACTGCTAGGTTGTATGGTAATTCTATGCTCAACTTGTTAATAAACTGTCAACTGTTTTCCACAGTGAATGAATCATTCTACTTTCTCACCAGCGACGATTTATTGACAGTAGTCTTAAGCAGTCTGTTTCATGTTTCCTCGAGGACTCCAATTACACTACTAATAATCATTCTTTTCTTATTTTTCATATTTATAATGTTCTCTTAAGTCCTTACCATGTCTATTTCTATTTTGCGCTTAGTTTAATTTCCACTCTGCAATGATTTTTTAATGTTTACAATTTTCACCTTCTTTGTAGTCAGTCACCTTGCTGATATGCCTCTACCGTTTGATGTTATGCTAGTCTACCGATTTTACTCTCCAAGTCCATCCCAGTCACGTTTAGTCTTCGCGCAGCCCCTCAGTGTGACTGACGGTCCAACCCCCAGGCAGCTCCGCCGCTGTCCGCTCTCCCTGGGGATGTGCTGGTGCCTGCTTCTGGCCTCCCCAGTCCTCCACATGCAGCCACTCCCCCTCCCCGAGGGCTGCGGGCGCTCTACTCCAACCTCCCACTTCTGGTTTGCGAGGACACCTCTGCATCTAGTCTTGCCACCAGCCTGTCACTGCCTGTTTGTTTTTGTTTTGTGTTTTTGTGATTCTCGTGTTTGTCTTTACACAAGATATCTTTAAAAGGTTTACACACGATATTTTTAAAGGTTTATCAAATTGCCTCATCACAACCTTCCTCAGAGAAGTCCTTAATGACCATTTCCACTGTAGTAGGAAAGTCATGCAATAAAATTTGATACCACCTACCTACATAATTTAGAATGTTCCTGTAACCCCATTTTAACAAGTAAAAACACACGAAATAGACACCTACAGTACATCCACTAACTCCGCACCTTTAGACACATAATCACCGTCACAGTTACTGACCTGTAAGTCCACTTCACAGCTCATCTGGACAGCACCAGTCAGACTCCAAGGACACCCAACAGTCACACCAGGCCAGCAACTACTGTTCTGGACAGTGCCAGGCGAGCCCTTTATTATGACTGCCAAGCAGGAATATGTTCCATTAAGATTCAGGTGCTAAGAAAACTGACACTAGGAACTGAATCACTACACAGGGCAGAGACAAGATACTAAAATTAGGTGGCATGCTACGTCCACCGTCGTCCCCAAGGGGGAGGAAGTAACACAATTCTGCGCTTGCCTCTGCAGCACGGGGACTCACACACACCCAGGCCTGCCCACAGGCAGAGCTGCATCCCAGCCCCGAAGAACAGGATCTGCAACAACACCCACATGTCTCCTGCCTGGAGAAACTCCCTGTGTGACAAAAGTGTCTCACAGATGGGCACTCATGCAATGCCTTACCCACGGAAGAAAAACTTACACAAGAATCACCTCTCCCAAACAGCATGTGGCAATCCCGAAGAACATTCTGAAAGTACAAGGAAGCCTGGCCTAGAAAGTTCTGCTCAATAAAAGCACAACAGAATGACCTGTGAGACAGTCAGGTCTAAAACAAAAGACTGACAGAAAGAAAACACATATTTGCATAATACTGTATGTATACTTTGAACAATATGCAGCTTATACTAAAGCTGACATATCCAGAAATACATACACAACCATTTAGACTGTAGTGATTCCTGCCTCTTTTTCTATTGCATTGACTATCATTCTGCATGTGTCTTGTTTCTTCGTATTACTGTTTACGTGCTCCTCTACTCATGTTTCCTGTAAAATGCAAGTTAAATCTAAGTATTTTTATTAGATTCAAGTACCCTTCCTGATAAGGATGTAGGCACACTGTATTTTATCAAGAGGCACATGCTATCTAGTTGCCCTACTGTTTTTTCCCTTTAAACCACAAAGAGCACGATTTATTCACAAGTAAGTAAAATGTTCTGGAGTTAAAGAGGCAGAGCTGGGCGTGGTGGCCCACTCCTGTTATCCCAGCACTTGGGAGGCTGAGGCAGGAAGATCCCTGTGAGTCTGAGGCCAGTCTGGGTTACACATCAGTTCCAGGCCAAACTACAGAGTGACAGCCCATGTCAAAAAAAAAAAAAAAGAGGCACAACAAAATGTAAATCAGTTTTTACTGTTTTCATATTTAAATGTTTTAATTGCAAAAAAAAACCAAAACAAAACAGAAGCAAAATGTCAACCACACACAATTCTATTTTTTTTTTTTTTTTTTTTTTTTTTGTCTTCTCGCTATGTAGTTCAGGCTGGCCTTGAGCTCACTTTATAGCCCAGGCTGGTCTCAAACTCGCAATGATCCGCCTGCCTCAGCCTCCCGAGTGCCAGGACGCCAGGCATGCGCCACCTCGCCTGGCCACAATTATATTCTAAAAAGACAAGGAAAATAAAAGGTCTTCTGAAAGTGGCCCATTATATGAATTCTTGATTAAATGAAGTAATGGCTCCTGAAATTGCTCAACTCAAAAAGTAAACAATTCTTTAAAAAATATAGACATCCAAGTTCAAAGTACAAATTTTTTGGATTATTTCAAATTTACTCTAAATTTGGTAATATTTAAGTTAATTTTCTTGCCTAAAATGTAAGCATTTTTCACTAAGGAAAACTACTGATAAATTTCATGTCAAGATTAGAAATACCTAAAACAAAGAAAGAAATTTCTATATATTTAATAGAAATCCTTCTAATGTCACAGAATTTTAGAATGACGAGGACCCCAGAACATAAAGACCATGACTACAATTACTATTTAGATACCAAAACCAAGACCCACTGAGGCCCACATATTTTCAAGCACTATCGAGCTGGTCAGGAGCGAAACAGCGCCTGAATCCAGCTCTCCTGACTGCGTGGGCAGCAGACAGTGATCCAGCAGGTGGCCTAAGGACTGATCTGTTTCCACAGCTACGGCACTATGTTTGACACTGACAATATTCACACCACACAAAGCAAGCATCCACCCAGCATATGGCAGGCAGACAGCCCCATAGTTATCTCTGATTCTTATCACACTCAACTTTTTCAACAGTTAAGGGAACTGGAAGTTTCAGACTTTGAACAATTTGCTCAAGATCACACAGTTAGTAAACAAAAGACCTGAAACCAGTCTGGCCATACAGAGCACCTGGGCATCTTCCACCTGTCTTACCTACCCTACACCTCAGCTCGGAAGAGGAGAGATAAAGAGATACAGCTGATTTCAACCTTTATCCTCCACTGCTGAGTGATAGTCAAACAGCACTTTAAAGAGAAAACAAACAGTTGAAGACTACATTATCTACAGATTTTATTTACATTTGATCGTGAAGGTGCAATTACAGAAAAAATACGAATGACCCAATCTCATTCCAGGCAGACCTCCTGGCCTGGACACCCTGGCCTTTGCTCCACCCAATTCATTACATCAACCGCACGTATTTCCTAAGGCAAAGAGTCAAAATGTGGTGCGTGAACCACAGAATCAGCTGGGATGCGGTTGGGAGACAGAGGAAAGATCAACGACAAAGTCACGAAGCTTTCTGCCTATGCTCACTTACCTCC